TTTTTTTTATACAAGTTTATTGGTGTCATATGTCTAAATAGTCACTGTGTGCATTGCGAAGTGCTATTGCAACAATGTGCATTCTCAGGTAAGATAGTTCTCAACTCATTAGGAGGAAGAGATTAGTTGCCAGTGGAGGGGAAAAAAAAAAAATTATTTACAGATGAAACAGAGAAATCACAGAATTGTAGCCGTTGGAAGGGACCTCCAGAGATCATTTCAAATGATAGAAGGTCTGGTACTTGAGGGGTTTAAACTCTAAATTCCACTTAAATAAGAATCAACTGATGAGGTGGCTGGCAAAACCTCATTCACTCTATATTAAGAACTCAGTAAAGGATAGTGAAACTTCTTGGAGATTACTTGTAAAATCTTTGCTGAAATTAAATTGAAGTGAAAATTTGTCTAGAATATTTAAGGACTATTTGAAACTTTCTCAAAACACTATTGAGATAATCTATGAGAACTTGCTCTGGTCTCCACAGTACAAGAGAACCATGGATATACCAAAGAGTTCACTGAAGGGCCACAAAGATTAGGAAGTGATTGGAGATTCCCTCCTATGAGGAAAGGCTGAGAGAGCTGAGAATGTTCAGTCTCAAGAAGATGAGCTTGAAGAGTATCTCAGCAATTCCTAAAAATAACTGAATGAAGGCTTTAAAGAAGATAGAGCCATACTCTTATCACTGGTGCCCGGTAACAGGGCAAGAGGCAATGGGCTCAAACTGAACCACAGAGGACATCAGGAAACACTTTTCCTCTGTGAGGGTGGTGTAAAATTGAGATATTAAGGAATCTTCCTCCTTGGAGATATTCCAAAGCTATCTGGACATGGTCCTGGGTAACCTAGGTTGTTTCTGCCTAAGCATATGTGTTAGAACAGATAACCCTCAGAGGTCCCTTCCTGATTTGATCAATGCTGTGATTCTGTGAACTTATGGAAAACATGTGCATTCCAGGAGAATCTGAAAAGACAAAAAATACTAGTTTCTAAAGGGATGGGAAGGAGAAGAAACAAAGGAGGGAATTACGGGTCACAATTTGAGTTCCTGAAAGAATGTACATGCACATGAATATAGATACTAAAATATAACTATATTCATGTATATGTATATGAAACAGATGTCACCACCACCATCAAAACTACATTGATTTTGAAGACTCAAGAATATCAAGATTGTAACTAGCACTCAGCAAAAATATTTCAAGAAGAAATTATATCAAAGCAACCTAAACAGATCTTAGTAAAAGGTGCGGAAGAAGTAGAAAGCATCAGAACAGGATCAATAAAGATATACATTGCTTATAAAATGATAGTACTCAAAGTAAAAACAATTAAAAAAAGTGTTCTGCTTCTCATTGAGAATAGACAGGAAGAAATGGGTTTAAATGACAGCAAGAAAACTTGGGTTGGCAAGTGGAAGAAATCTTTCCAACTACAGGCATAGCAAAGCTCTAATGTATACTGCCAAGAGACAATGTGAGAACTTCTGTCACTCAAAGTTTTCAAGACCTGGTGAAACTATAAGCTGTCAGGAATAGTTTAGGCATGGCTGATCTTGCCTGTGGGCAGCTATATGGATTAGATGATCTCCTGGGACCCTATTTACTATGATTTCTGTGATTCCCAGGTAAACATAATTCTCTTGACTCAAATTCAATTCACATCTAGAAAATTATGTGAAGCATTTCAAGAACAAAGTTAAAATAAAAACAAAACTTGCACAACATAATCATTGTATGTGATGTCATGATTTTGCAGACTACTGAAAACTGACTTTCATAATAAAGGAGGGATGGGGCATGTCCAAATGAAGACATAGCTGTATGACAAACTTTTTCTTCTATGTCCTCAACTGACTACAGTTATGTTTCACAGCACATTTAGTTACTTGCCTTTTCCACCATTTAAACTTGGGGAAAAAAAAATCTTGTAACATCTTGTCTGTAATTGAAGCATTCACATAAGGTACATAAATTAGGGCATAGTTACTGTTCCTCTTTTTTGACTCAATAAGAGTGAAAGACTCTCTGCAGCTCCAGAATATTTGACTTACACTCATTTTCGGGAGGGAGTGTAGGTGGGCAAGTCCCTCATTCAAGCACATCAGTTAAGTCTCTGAAGCTTGCAATGATGAATGTTAAGGTCTAGGCCAGGTTAGCCACCAAAGTCAAGACAGTTGAATCCAGGCTAATTCCTCAACACTTCACTCGTCACCCAGGATAACTGCAGTCTGTAGATCAATTGGAAATTCAGCAGAATAGTACAAAGGTTCTCTCATAACAATACACCCTCAAAACCACTCTCGTCTCCCTACTCTTAGAAATGTGTAAAAGGTGGTCTCCAGCAGGAAAGAGAAAGCTTTAAAAAATATTGAGAGTTCTATATAGCCACAATGAGATTTGAGGTTGCAGCATGTGGGGAAAGTTACTGGAACTTCTATGATCCCTACAACAGTTGGATTGTTTTTCTTCGTGAATTTCTTTCTATTCAAGAATTCTGAATCCCTAAGGCTGATACTATTGTTTCCTTCTTTGCAGAAAAAGGAGCAGTGTGTAGAGGTTCAGTTCTCTTACATGTACAGTTCTCAGAGGGGATCCAGACCCTGTATCAGGAAGCACTGAATGCTGTGCAATCTTGTGAAAGTTGCAGTCTTCTTTTGTAGAATTCAGAGCTGAGGAAATTTCAGGCTCTGTTTGGATATTCAGCTGAGAACTTGAACACCTACTTGAAATGAAATGAACTTCAAAAAGCTGCTAGGGATCAGGGATCATTATGGGTGAAGCCTGAAAAAGAGAGATAATTATAAATTAGTGTGTGCATATATGCGCATATCTATGTGGGTAGAGACAAACACGGTTATTTGCTAGAGTGTGTGTCATTGCTAACTGTGAAGTATAGGCAGGTGAGTTCAGTTTTACTTGAGGTCAAATATGTCCCATGCCTTCTCCAGTCTAGAGCAATTCAATTGTTAATGATTGCTAGAGATCAGTTTCAACTGACTGTGCCCTGTAGCATATGCTTGTACCGTATGCATTTTAAAAGATTACTAAAAAAAAAAAAAAATCAACCAACAACAAAAACAAACCAAACCACAAGCAAACAAACAAACAAAAAAGCAACAAAAAACCCCAAACAATTAGCCCCCCAACAACAACAGCAACAATAAAATCTAGAAAGAATTAATAACAACCAGTCCAGTGTTTGAATAGTAGAGTTTCTCACAGTGAACGTATTATAGTGTCTGAAGGAATCCTAGACAGGCAGCTCTGCATCAAGCAAAGTTTATTAATTTCCAGTGCAACACTAAAGTTAATGTAACTGCAAATAGAGCTTTTTGTAAGTCTCAGTGTTTCTTGTGATCTGGTGATTTCGTGATATTACACCTTCAAAGTGAGGAAGTAAACTGTGGTAGTATCAGTGGGATCTGAAATCTAATTATTTCAGTCAAGCAACACAAAATAAAACAAAAGTACCAGGTCCTCATCAGAATGAACAAAGATAGTTCAAATTCAGGTTCACATCAACATGGGGAATCAAAAGGCTATTAAATAGCTGATAATAATATCTACTGTATAAACCAGTTTAACGTAATGAAAGCACGGATATTTTCCTTCTCTTTTGCCATCTTTTTGTATTGTTTTCCTTCTAATAGAAAATGATTCACAGCTTTCTATTAGAAGGAAGCAAATGTATCCTTAAAAAGAGAAATGGGTATTACATCCTTTTTGGGAGGAGTGTAATTTACATGTATGTTAGGTATTTTAGTTCTGACTGCAGTGCCTTGTGTCTCCCCCTTTACTAATTGTATGGTACCCATTTAGACTACACTGATTTTTATTTATTTATTTATTTATTTATTCATTCATTCATTCATTCATTTATTTTTGTGCACTGTGGATTATAAGTGGATTGCTTACACAGACTGCTATGTAGTTCTCAACTCTACTTCGTAGTTGCAGTTGTAGCTGTAGCTGTACTTGCAGTCACATGGTATCTGCTTTTGACTGCAGAGCGCTTCAGTAATTTGAGAACAGATTAATTCCAGAAATGAGCTGATAAGTGTCCAATTGATGAGAAAGTAAATAAACAAGATCTGCTTAAGTTCCTTTGCTTACTCCATTTGGTATGTGCTCAGGTGTCCACATTTGGCTCAAAGAAACATTTTTTCAACTCCACATTTTTGCATAATGGTTCTCTGGTGACAACAGTTGCCAAGCTAGATACACTCTCCTTATGCAAAGGGTTTAATGCTCCATAGCCCACTGGTGAGGAGGAGGCTCTTCAGAAAGAGAAGCTTAAGAGAAAGAATCAAATGGAGTCTTTAGTCTCTTTTTCAATGACATTGAATGTGTCAACTAGAGAAAATGCTGAACTGGAAGGAGAGAACCATTTGGACTGGTTGGTGCCTGGACTTTCCTTTCTGTTGGTTATGAAAACAGAGACATTGAAGGACAGTTAAATAAGATCTTGATATCTAAAATTTTTTAAAATGCAGCCAGTTCTGAAAGCTGCTCTGCAGCTGAAGTCCAGCATTGGCAGTACCTGAAGGTCACTTTTCCAGCTTGATCATGAGCACCTTGTCTTTAATAGGGTTGGGTACTTAGGCTTTTAAGAAATCCATACCTAATTTCCTTTAAGAAGCATGCACTACCTTTTCCTTTTCTCTCCAAAACAATCAACATTCACAAAGAGTGTCTGAGATCAGGCTCAACAAACGAACTGAGACAAGAGAAGTTCTTCCAGTTTCCTCCAGTAGTTCAGGTTTGTGAAATCTACAACAGGATGCAAGCATATGTTTTGACGCTTCCTCTGTTGAACAGAAATACTTCAGACAACTGAAGCCTTTCCTAGACTTCTATAACTTTAGAGCAAAGGTTTTGAGATAAACTGAATAATATATATTCTTTCTAGACATCATAAACATAGAGTGCAATATATGTATGATATGTATCTCACTTCAACTCTTCCCTCGTAGGAGTTAATGGCAGGTGATATTTAGAAATGGCTCTGATCATTCTGCACAGACTGAAAAAATGAACAGGGCTGTGAGGAAGTCACAAAGCATTTTGTATCATCCCTGTAACATTGAGATCACTGTTACATTCTGAGGTAACAAATGACTCTTATGTCTCCACCTTTTTCGTTCACATGTTTTCAGTTTCGTTGCATCCAGCATTGTCTTTTAGATATTCAAAGCCAAGCATGTAATTGAGAAATGATAATTAGAATAGTTCAAAATCATTATAATGGAATTATATTACATTACATTATATTATATTATATTATATTATATTATATTATAATATTTATATTATATTATATTATATTATATTATATTATATTATATTGTATTATATTATATTATATTATACTGGAATAAGCACTGCACAGTACTGGGGAAAAGAAATATGAGGGTATTTATCAGGCAAATTAGAAGTATTTGCCACCTACTCTGTTTAACAGAAAACATTTGATAGGGACATTTTAGCCCTCAGCTCTTCTTGTAATTGTGACACAACTGAAAAGGAGAAAAATCTCATAACATGAGCTTATCTATGTGACATTGTGACAGTTCAAAGTATTTAAGGGTAACACATGATGTAACTTCTGACAAAAAAAAAAAAAAAAAAAAAAAGAATTAATGAGAATACTGCTCCCGAGATGACTTGGGCTTTGGCTTCATTTCACTTTCATTTCAGTTTCAGGTCTGTATTCATTAACCAAGGATAGCAGCTCTATAGGCAGCCAATGTAACTGTACAAATAATTTTATTTGTTCATTTATTCATTTATTTATTTTACTGAATGTATTATGTAGCTCAGCTATTGAATATAAGGCAGTAGGTTTTAACAATGTAAGCTCAGAGTAAGTGGCTGTTTAGTTTGTGTGAGTGTCAGAGAGAACAGTACATCTATTTACAATTCAGAGTTTTCCCTAAGGATAAACAACCCTGTGTTAGCTCCAGTTCATAATCTTCTGCAGTAATATTTCCTGTCCACTTGGCTTCAGTGGAATATTTTCTCTCACTGTTTTGGGTACTGCAGAATAGAGAAATCTACATATTTTTGCAGGCTGGATTCAGACACACTAAGTTTTGCCCGGTACCATTGTGACTGACTGGAAAGATAACTACAACTAAATCTATCACTACATAACCCAGGCTTACAAAATTTTAAAAACTCTTTCAATTAAAAAGCAGCATACTAAATTAATGTTAATGATTAAAGAAACAATCCTGATCAAATGATTTATACAAAGGAAGAACTAGAAATGAGAAAATCATAGAATCAGGTTGCTCAGGTTGGAAAAGACTGTCAAGTCCAACCACAACCTAACCAAACTACCCTAATTCTAACAACCCTCCACTGAATCTTGTCCCTGAGCACCACATCCATATGGTTTTTAAACACATCCAAGGGCGGTGACTCAACCACCTCCCTGGGGAGCTCATTCCAGTGCTTAACAATCCTTTCTGTAAAGAAGTTTTTCCTGAGATCCAACCTAAACTTACCCTGGTGCGACTTGAGGCCATTTCTCCTTGTCCTGTTGCCTGTCACCAGTGAGAAGAGACCAGCCCTGCTCTCGCTGTAAGCATCTTTCAGGTATTGGAAGAGAGCAATGAGGTTTCCCTTGAGCCTTCTTTTCCCCAGACTAAACAGCCCCAGTTCTTTTATTCCCTCCTCATATAGTATATTCTCCAAGCCCTTCCCCAGGCTTGTTGCCCTTCTTTAGACCTGCTCCAGCACCTCACTGTTTTTTCTGCATCGAGGTGCCCAAAACTGAGCACAGTACTCGAAGTGTAATCACCAGTGCTGATTACAGGGGCAGGATTACATCCCTAGTTGTGCTTACCACACCCTTCCTGATACAAGCCAGGATGCCTTTGGCCTTCTCGGCCAACTGGCCACACTGCTGGCTCATATTCAGCTGACTGTCCATCAGTACACAAAGGTCCCTTTCCATCAGGCAGCTTTCCAGCCACTCCTCCCCAAGCCACTCCTCCTGTAGGGTTGTCTAGGGTTGTTGTGACCAAAATGCAGGACCTGACACTTGACCCTATTGAAACTCATACAGTTAACCTTGGCCCATTGATGCAGTTTATCCAGGTTGCTCTGTAGTGCCCTTCTCCCCTCAGGCAGATCCACACTCCCTCCCAACTTGATTTCATCTGCAAACTTACGACAGTGCACTCAATCCCCTCGTCCAAATCATCAATAAAGATGTTAAATAGAAGCAGCTCCAGTACCTGGCCCTGGGGGACAGTGATAGTGAGTGGCTGCCAACTGGATTTAACTCCACTGACCACAACTCTTTGGGCCCGGTCATCCAGCCAGTGTTTCACCCAGCAGAGTATATGCCAGTTCAAACTGTGGGAAGCCAGCTTCTCCACAAGAGTGTTGTGGGGGACAGTGTCAAAGGCTTTTCTGAAGTCGAGGTAGTCCACCGACAGCCTTAGCTTCATCCACTAAGCAGGTCACCTTATCATAGAATGAAATCAGGTTCGTCAAACAGAATCTACCATTCATAAACCTATGCTGACTGGGCCTTATCCTCTGGTTGACCTTTAATTAGCCCATGACGGCTTTTGATATTACCCATTCTATAACCTTCCCTGGCACCAAGGTGAGACTGATAGGTCTGTAGCTATCAGGATCATCTTTCTGGCCCTTTTTGAAGATGGGCATCATGTAACAGGTCATGTTGCTGACATTTACCTGGGTGTTTAGTCTTGTTCAGTTTTTGAACCAATGCTCTTCAAGAAAATTGAGAAATGTGATTTCTGAGAGAGGTAAATGAATGTATACTTTAAAGAGAATTTAAAAACGAAGAGTGCACAAATATTCAGTTTTTGTTATTTGAACTTGTAATTCATTCAGAAAAAGAATTTGTTGTGTTGTAATACTGAAAGTCAAGAACAGCATGCTTACTGGTCTTCTCCAAATGCAGATTTCTCAGATAAATAAAATATTTTGTTTTTATCTTTTACACATGAAATTTTCATTTACTTTCCAATTGCCCGAGTTGACTGATGATGGTGAAATTACTCAGACATTTTGCAAAGAAATGAAACCATTTGATAACATTATAAAGATCAAGTACTCGATCATAGCTCTTTATAGATAAATAGAGAAACACATTAGATTGTTATTAGGGTTATTAATTTTTATGACACTTTGATATATAGCACATACCACATTGTACTTACATGTATTGATCAGAGGTTTCTGTCCATTTCTTATAAAAGTACCCTAAGACATCAGTAACTGCATGGTTCTGACCACCTTTCCTTAAAAGTATCCCACAACAGGGGACAGTGATATAAACATGATTTCCAAAAAGTAATGGAGATGTTTTGGAAAAGTGAACCTGGATTGTGTGTTGATTAATTAATATCAAAGAGAAACAAACTAAGAAGTAGAAAACAAAGCTTCTTTTATTTAGACAAACCTTGAGAAAAAAAAGGAAACAATTGATAAAGTTTTCTGAAAACCTGGTAATTTTGCTCCAAGTATAGCAGATTAATTCAGAGAAAAGATTATTAGACTTAACTAGACAAAGAAAGACAATAGGAATAAATAGGGAGTTTACAAGAACTGTGAAAAGAGGTATCAGCAAAGAAAACTCCACCAGGGAGGTATTACATCTTGCTGAGGATGTCTTAACAAGTAAAAACTTCTACAGCTATATGAAAAGAGCAAGGACAGCAAAAAGGGAGTCAGTATACAATGGGGACATAGTAGAGATTAAAGGTGCCTGGGAATTGCTTTCAAAAAAGAAAAAAAAAAAAAAAAAAGAATATTCTTTCTTCAGTTTTCAGCAGAATAATGGTGCTTGGCAACATCTGTCCCACAGAGATCATCTCCACTGACACAAGAGACTTTATTTCCCCTACTATGCAAGGAAAATGAGAGTAGTAATTATATCACAGTTGCTTATTCAAGTTTGTATCTATTTATGGCAACACATTAAGCTAATTTGCATTCAAGTAAATTCAGTTTCACCCAATGTTAACACTCCGGGGTTACTGTAGCTGTCAAAAACTCAGATCTCCTCTGGTTGGGTTATTTTTGTTTGTTTGTTTTCCTTTGCTTGTTAGAATCTCCATATTCAATGCATTTCTTTCGTGTGGATTATTCTTCACTTCTAAATTAGTGAGGGTATTAATCAGCTTTTTTAATTGAATGAGTTTGATTTCCTTGGTTTCATATCCCTTTAAAAGCCAAGTTAAGAAAAAATCAAGCACGCTGCTAATTTGGTAAATTTAAACTTCTCATTTTTCCCTACAGGGAAGTGCAAAGGTGTATGGGAGGACAGAGCTTTCTCTTTGCACTCTGCATGTTTGGCCGTATAAAAGCAAAACCTCCTGAGAGCTGGACTCTACTCTTTCAAGTGTGCATCTCCTCTTGCCAGAAATACTAGCTGACATAATATTAGCAGAGATCATTAGCTATTCTTTTAACTTTTTGTTTCAGATAGATAAAGCTTTTTAGGAAAAAAAAAAAAAAATCAGGAAGAAAAAAAAAAAGAAAAATAAAACTTTCACCAAAAAAAAGCAATTATAGCACTGCAGAAAATGTGCCAAATGAAGAAACAAGGAGGATACAAACTTTCATAAATCTTTGTACAGATAGTGTATGTGCATATACTTTATATACATAGGTCATGCTAAAGTAATGCCTTCTATTCATTCCCATGGAAAATACAACAGATGTAAAGAACACAACAACACTGTTTGATAAATTCTGAGCTACAGAATGCTGTTTTTCAACATAGTTACTGCCATTAGCTATGTGTTGTCACCAGCGATGAACAAGAGCCTGCATGCCACGTTTGTTAAAATCTGTATGCCCATCTAGCTTGTCTTCTGCGTCGCTTTCACATCACTCTAGCCACTGCTGAAATGCACACCCACTGCCTCACTGTGATCATATCCACTGTTTGGTCTCCATAAATGTTCAGCAAACATTGATGAATGTCAATGGATGCCATTTTTTCCTTATTAATTAGAAAATTGAAGTAATGTCAAATGGTATAAAGCCAGGGAATGTTCTAAAATTTTACAAGATCAGCTTTTTCTTTTGTGTTTCTTTTTCTTAGTTGGTGTTCACAAGATGAGAGAAGGCTATTTAGAGAGAATGACTGTATAATCAGAAAAGGTATGAACTAAAGAGACTTATGATGGAAATTAGAGGATTTCTTTTGAAAATAGCAGATTTCTGGAAACACAGAGCAATAACAAAACAAACCAAAACCAATATAAATCAAAACACATTCACATACACATACACACAAAGCCCCACCACCTTGAAACAAAATGTTTCCTCCCCCTCAAAAAAAAAAGCAAACAAAAAAAGTCAAGAAATAAAATATAAATATACTTCAAGGTAGACTTTACATGGGCTATGAAAGAAATTACATGAAAAGATTGTCTGTGATTGCAGAGAATTCCCCTTAATAACCCAGGCAAGCTTCCCGACTGTATTTTATTAAGAAGTGACTTCTTCAAGGGGTGGATTCAAATGGGACACTACTTCCCATGGGGTTTATTTCATTCACTTTATCTCAGCAGCTCCTCAGTATTATCTGTATCATTTGAGCTTCTGGACAGGGGCTCAGCAAAACAACGAGGAAATTTGTCGCAAGATCTGGCACCAAGTCAGATTTCTGAATCAGGTATGCTGCTCTCTTATTTGGTCTACTTTTTGCTTAAGGCCCAGTTCTTTGCAGAGTTAACTGAGTGCTTAATATGAACTGCAAAAGTCTCTGAAAACCTACAGACTTCAGTGCAATTTGAAATTGAAAGCAGCTTTTTAAGGGTGATACAAGAGCAATTTTAGTCCTCAGAGCATTTCTTGGTGACCTGAATGCACACCTTGTTGGGATGACCAGACTTCCTAAGATCCCATACCCAAATCCCTGTAAATTTCACCTGCTCTTTTGATCTTTCTGAGCTGTACTGGATTTTCTAAATGTTTTAAAAGTGAAACCTTTCTACCAGGACGAGCAAATGTCACAATGGCCTCTGTAGATGCTGCAATTTATAACTCCCCTCCCCCTCTCCCCCCTTATTTTATTTTATTCTTATCAACTTTGTCCTTCTAAAAGACTTTTATTTACTGCTGATTTGCTGCTTTGAAGTCCAAAAGCAAATATCTTTCTATAGAGCTTCCTGCATATGGTATTTTTTATTCTGGAAGTTCTTTGCAAACAAGATGTTGTTACTGTTGTTCTTAATATTATTACAATCCCTTTGAGTTTTTAGTTTTGTTTTTTTTTTTTTGTTTTTTTCTTCTTTTTTGTAAGGAAAGAGATCATATCAAGAATAATTTTTTTGTCTTAGGAATTCCAATTATTTGATGCATCATATCATCATACCATACCATATCATATCATATCATATCATATCATATCATATCATATAATATACCATAGTGATGTGATCATGCCCTCAGAAGGGCACAAAAAAGAAAGTTTGATAAAATTGACCCATACAGAAGATTACATTTATTGATCAGCTCCCTACTGTGCAGAGGGAAGCAGTGAGTTTGGATATTGCTTGCACAGCAGGGGAGGGAAGATGTTGAGGTTCTTTCTGTTCCTACCTAACATCTTTACTCGAGAGTAATTCTTGTATTCCACAGAACCTGGAGTCCCCAAAGAACAGTCTGCTGTCTGGAAGCCTCATTCCCTACCAATGAGTGGAAAGCAGAGCTGGCTGCCTGCTGAGCAGTGAGGTGAGGAGAGAGATGCCCCTTTTCTTCCTCCATGGAGAGAATACTAGCTCTCCTTTGACACTGCTGCTGAGATGGGGACAGTGTCCAGGACTACCTCAACTTGCAATTTGTATAGTTAAGTGGTCACATATTTTAAAGGAAAAAATTACCAGGAAGGTTCCAGAACTCCTGGTGTAAAGGAAAATTGGACGATGTAAGCCCTGAGGGTTTAGTCAGTAAGGCAATTATTTTTGATAAATTAACTAACAAACAAAACAGCAGTACTTTTGAATGTCATAGATTTTGGGGGATAAATGAGGACAAGAAAGGGGGAAAAAGAAAAAGAAGAAAAAATCTGAGTTTGGCACTCTTTCACCCTGCTTCCGAAGGGTACACTGCTCTGAAGAAACTCCCCATTGCATGTTGTGGTTTTGTACGTATAGGACAGAACTACAAATGAAAAGTGACTTTCCTTTCCTTAATGATCCTTAAAAACAGACCATTAAGAATAAAGAAGTGGCTTCTTCTCCTGCCTTGCATATAGAATTGGAGCCAAGGGATCTGATTTTTCCATTATGTATCTAGAATATTTTAAAAAATGTTGAAAAATTGTCATTTTAGCTGTTTCCTAATGTGCATATAATAATTACCTGATAAGGTGTTTTCTTCAGTGCTATTAGTTTATTTCAACAAGGTATTTGAAGAGCCTCAGACATTTTTCCCTTTGTTGACTCATTAGCACCAAAGTGCCATTTCTAAAAGGTTGTTTATAAAATCCCAAGAAAAACAGAATTTGTTATCTGCAGACATTGAAAAGAGATAATTAAGAGGGGTTGTGAATATGTCAAAGTACTTTTTTTTCTTTTTTTTTTTTTTGGTGGCTATGAGAGATCATAAAAAAAATTGGAATATGGCTAGAAAGAAGCAAATGATTTTTGGATAAGAGATGAGAAGATGCACACTAGCAAAATCAAAGCATGGTGAGTTCATCTTTTCCTATATATAAGAATGAAATTGTCATAATTTATCTGTATTTATTATGAAAATCTTCAGCTTCTTTTTAGCCCCTTCTTAAGAAAAGTCATTACAAATATTCTTGTAAGCAATAATGTTTAAAAAAAAAAAAAAAAGGCAAAAGAAAACAAACAAGAAATAGACAAAAAAAAAATCCAGACTTTAAGTTCTAATCTTCTGTAATACACAAGAAAATTTTTCTTGTGATTTTCTTGGTTATACAGATAGACAAGAGAAAAATAAATACAGCTTTCAGATCTCTGATGTCATATTGCTGTTTCCAGCCAGTGTCTGAATAGCAGACGTAGCAAAATATATACAATTGCAAACGAGTGATATACATACATAAATATTTGATTATTCACAAAGGAATTGCTTCATTTCTAGCATTTCACATTTGTATGTGTACCTTTGGAGGCATTTTCAGCAATCTAACAGGCTTACCACTACCAATATTTTTAAGGTCAAAGCTGCTGAAACAAACAAACAAAAAACACTTCAAAGAAAATGTCAGAAGCCTATTCAGACACTCCATTGGCTTACTGGGGAAAATGCAAATATTTCAAAATAGCACTGACCCATTTAGTGTCTGTGATATATCACTGTTCATCTTTTTGAACTTACAGGTGAGTATAAAATCCGATTTATTCTTAAGCTATATGAAACAAATGTTATTTGCAGAGCAATAACTCACACTGCATATTAAAGTCATTTCCTCCATTTATTGCTTCTCTGTTTTTTTACACTGCAGAAGACAAGGTAAAACAGCCTATAGAAACAAACAAAATGTAACAAAACCATTTGTTTCTTTTCCATTCTTTTGCAGTTAAATGTAGGCTGTGAAGAGTAAAAATAAATAAATAAACGTAATGTGCAATTAAACTTGGCAATGCATTATATTTGACTGTAAAAACTGTTAAGTCCTTGGAGCTTTGAGAGCTTTGGATAACTCTGTGTGGTTATGACAGCATATATGAGTAAGTTTTAATTAAATTAGTGATTACACTCTCTGCCATGGTGTGATACATAACACAAACTATAAGCCGCATTTTTAACCTGCAAGTAAGATCATCTTCAACGTTCAGAAAGCAAAGAAAATAAGGAGTTCTTCAGCCTTAAACAAAACATGCAGGATCATCTGAAGACTTTGACTGTACTCCAAGGGGGCAGAAAAATCTGTCTACTACAAAGCAGATGTGCAAACATCAGAAAGCAGGATTTCTACAAAGCAGCTTACCTATGACACTGAATAATTGATCTACCTGTCAAAGTGCAGTGGTAGGTTTGACCTCAGTGCTAAGCTAGTGAGAGACATGCATCTAATTTTATGCATGTTTTAATTTTGGTAAAACCTGTCAGGTAAAGTACATGTGACCTAAGGAATGTTTACAGAGACCAATCTATAACTGCAAGTACTTGAGTAATGGATGGAACTGTTATTTCTTGTGCAACTATTTTTCTGAAACTTGCTCCTCATAAATGGATCTATGGCATGGAATGGATGTTTTATTGCTCATGCTCCTGAAGTTTATAACAAGGCTATCCTACAGGCTAATGGCAAAATAAGCTATGATCAGACACTGTAGCAGAATGTAAGCCAAGAATATTCAGCTTTTTAGCAGAGTGGTGCTTACTTTCCAACTGATATGTAAATTCATTTAGAAGTGTAGGACATCTAGCACAAATGCCTCAAAACTTACATGTCTGAAATTTCTTCCTTACTTGCCCTTCTTGGTTTTCATAGAAATCCATGCACCCTGAAGATTACAGGTAGAAAGCTTCTCTATTAAGTTCAATTTTTTTAAAAAAAGCATATAAATTCTTTTAAATTTATTAATCAGATCATGGAATTTAGCTAACAAACGGAAATAATTATCTCATTCAGTTCCATATAGATACTAAGCTCTTAAAATCCATTGGATTTAAGATTAATGGAAAATCTGAATTTAGAGAAAAATCCACAGATTCACTCGCTTGATGCTATAGTACTACACATATGAAATAATTCTCATACTAAAATATTAATTTCCAGATGTGAAGTCTACTTGATAAAATAATCTTTGTTCCTAGGTGAAATGATGTTTTGTTCATGTTAGCTGTAATTTTCAGAAAATATTTTTGCATTAATATTTTAGAGACCAATTTTACTCCTTATTCCTCTTGTTCCAAGCAGAAACAACTGTTGGATTATGATTTTATTACTTTTCTTCTTGAAAAAAAGCAAGCAAACAAGGAAAAAAAACCCAGGATTTTTAGAGAAGAATTTCATTTTTCCTTATATTTGCTGGAGCTGAGGGACATTTTTCTTAGATTTCATTGCTCAAGAAATCAAAACAAACAAGCAAACAAACAAACAAATAAATAAAATGAGACTTTAGATATTTGTTGTTATATAATTCCCACAAGATGTACAATTATTAATTGGTTTATTGTGCTTAAGTTACTCTTGCAAATGGGGATGTAAAGTTTTAAATCCATTAAACTTCTTTTTTCTCTTAGCTTTGCACACAGATCACTCTTAGTATGGCATTGTGTGAGGTAGACCAACTAACAGATGTCAGAAGTGTGCCATAATGGAGATGGTTTTCTTCTAAATCTGTTTTCCACAGTTATGTTGTAACTGAAAAACAGAATTTCTTTACCTAGCGATTATGTGAGAGTTTTAATAACTATCTCAGACTGTAAGTGGTTTGACTCTTTAACTGTCAGAAACAGTCACTTCGAAGTGTACAGCTCTATATTTTTTAATCTGTCATAGCAAATTTTTTAGCAATGATTAGTCCCCAAGTTCAACCATTGAAGGTAGGTTGAAGCAATGCTTGAACAGTTATTAACTATCAGGCTCCTCAAACTGCCTCTTTATAAGAACTTTCTCCTTCACTGCAATGAGCAATAATTGAAGCCATAGAAACAATATTGGGTTAAAGTATGAGAAGAGATCTGATGTGCCTCTGTTAAACAAAACAAAAAAAAATTTTGGGTAAAATTCATGCGTTGTATTCATACAATATTTTACACATTAAAACATCTTATTAGTGGAGAAAATGACTTAAATAAGTACTAAAAAATATAGTTGTGTGGGCTGAAATACTCAATATCAGGCAAATACAATGCGACTAATAGACAAAACAGAAGCAGAGTCCTGTACTCCATCTGCTTCCCCTCCTCAGAGGCTGCAAGGAGCAATGTGGTCACCTCTCAGCCCCCTCTACTCTGTAAGCCCAGGTGTTTTCAGCCTCTCATCACAGGACATACATTCCAACCCTGTTACCAGCTCTTTTGCCTTCCTCTAAATGCTTTCAAGGATGTTAACATCCTTTTTCTATTGTGGAACCCAGAACTCCACACAATACACAAGGTGAGGATGCACCATTGCCAAATATTGCAGGAGAATCACCTCTTTTGATGCAAAAATTCTTACCAGACAAGAATCTAGCATTCTCAGATATTAGTTTGGACATTAGTAGCTGTTGCTACCCTACAATGTGTTTTCATTTAAGAAGTCATATAGATGTTTGATGACCAGTTTGAATACAGAACTAAGATTTTGCCTCCATACAAACACTATGATCCTTGTTCCTTCTTTGCTCTGGCATTTCCTTCCACCTCCCTGTCCACTGAAATGTAAAAATATATCATTTCAATTTATTTTTATTTTTTAATTTTGTTTTGGGGTATAAACGGGTAGAGGGGAAGCAGTGGATTTAAGAAAACACCAGGAAATTATGCTTTTTCACTGTTTCTTTTCTAAAATCACCGTAACACAGATATTTATTTATTTCACATGCCTGTTTTCATTATTGCTTCTGTTGTACTTTCCCTTCCTTCAGCTGATGGACAAATACTTTGCATGTAACAATTACGATTGTTATGCTGCTGAGTGTATATATAGTGCTGAGCCTCATATTACAGAGCAGTGATATATGCCCAAGGAAGTTAAAATACTGTTTTCAAGTTTGGTTTGTGGGCTTAATTGTCTTAAGAATAGCATTTTATAATCAATCACATGAATGTCCATTTATAAAGAGAAAAAAATGGAAAAATAATGGGAAAATCTATTTTGGAAGGGATCTCTGGGAAGCATCTGCCACAACCTTCTGTTGAAAGGAGAGATTTATTCAGTCTTATCAAACCGAGTCCTGAGTACTTGTAACAGGGAGATCTCTTTGTGCAGCCTATGCAAATCCTCAATTCTTCTCATAGTGAAAGATTTCTTTTCTTATATACAAACTACATTTCCTTTGAAGTAACTTATGCCTATTTTCTATTCTCTTGTTGCCATTAATCTTCATGAAGACGGAATCTCCATCATCTCTTTTAGGTATTGGAAAACTGTAATTAGCTCACCCTTGAACTTTTCCTTCACAAATCCTCCAACTTTTCGTCTTATGTCAAGTTTCCAATGCAATAAACACTTAGCTGGCACTCTGCTGGGCCCTCTCCATTTTTTTCCCAGTGTCTTCTGAACCAAGGCAGTGAAAATTGGACACAGGATTCTGAGTGCAGACTAACAAAATATGATCAACATTAGAATTACTGGCAATTGTAGCTCTCGTTAAGTAACTTAACAAGAATTAGGACTTTGTTAGTTTTAAATATCAAGCTTTCAAAACTTGAACATTAAGGTGAATGCTTACAAGAAAAAGCAAATTCATCTGCAAAGAGTAGGAAGACAAAAATTCACTTTTATATCATAAATTCAGTACAATTTTTCTTTATTTTTTAGGTATAAATAGCAGTAAGAGAAAAAAGAGTGAAGTTCTATTTCCAGTGAATACAATAACTCTTGGCTTGTAAATTTTTATCCATGCCTTCTATCTCAGGTGAGGTTCTAGTAGCTACTATTCAGCATTTTTACTCAAATGTTGAGAATGACAGTTTCATACTATATATTGTAAAATACATAATGTGAAAGAATTTAGCAATTATGTGAGTATGAATGTATAAGACAATTTTGTGATTACATAATAGACATAAATGAGAATATAAATAAGGAACTTGCAGATTGAAAATTTTGGGTAGGTGTTCAGAGACTTCTGTGCCTGAACAGAATTGATATGAACTAATTGATATGTACATAACAAATGTACATATTAAAAAGTACTCAATTACTCCTTCCTCTTATGTCTTCCTTCCTTGCTGTTGGCACTCATCTTCCACAGCCTACACAACAGAGGAGAGCTTGCTATAAGGAAAAATGTTTTCTGTTTTCCAGGGCAGCTATTGGCACAGGCTGCCCACGGCAATGGTGGAGTAGTGGCCTCTGGAGGTTTTCAAGAGAAGGGCAGAGGTGGCACTGTCAGACATGGATTAGTGGTTGTGGAGTATGGCACAAACATTGCCTACTGAAGAAGGGGAGATGTCGTGCAAGACTGGAGAACGGGATGGGGTATAGTTTTGGCAGCTGTCCTCTGGTTGATGACAAGAAATGCCCCTAGCAGTGCAGACCTGATAAGGCTACAGCTATGCCTCCATCACATTTAATAAATTGTTATGGTGCATCTGACCTGTGTCAGTGAAGTACACTGTAGTCCTTTCTTCTCACTGGGTGAAAAAAAACAGGGCATGAAGTGGGACAGTGGACTTGATGGTGATGGGTTGGACTGGATGATCTTACTGATCTTTTCCAGTCTTGATGATTCTATATAAAAAAGGCTATTACTTCAGAAAGGTTAACATAAATTAAAAATAAATAAATAAATAAATAATCAGAGAGGTGAAATTCAAGCTGTTTATTCACTTAGGGATAGTCATTTCCTAACCTGAACTACTTGTGACATTTTTACTTGGATATAGAGGGAAAAAAAAGCTGAAAAATTAACTCCGTGTGAAAGCAATTCTCCTTCTTGCTACACTTTAATAATACAGTTAGAAAAATATTTTGATTTTCCTTTCTTCTAGGGATGCCTCTGTCAGAGCAGCAGTGAGAGGGTTAATTTGCATGTTCCTACTCTCCTTTTCTTACGCTCATGAATCTTTCAGATGTTAGGATCATTTAAACTTACTGTGTCTTAGTAATTTTTCTGTAAAGTATCCTTGTCTAGAGAAACCTTATATTATGGAAGACTACACTGATGATAGTCTTCTAATGATCTCCAAGAATTCTCTCAGCCTTCCTGTTTGGAAAGCTAATATGTGACATCAAAAGTCACATATATGTTTTGTCCCAGCGTTGTGGTATTGTGATTTTTGTTGTTGGCATTCCGCATCAGAATATCATGTAAAACAATGGGGGTTAAGAGATAATGTTCTGGTTCTGTGGACTACCTTTTTTGGAATTTTTGGGTTCTTAGAGGGGAGGTGAGGAGCAGCATTCCCAGAGGACTGATGCACAGAGGAAGAAAGATGGATCTCCTGGCAGAACACCAGCTGTTCTCCCTTTCACGGACTTGCTCTCTCTTGGTTTGCTGTGGAGAAAAGCATGTGCTTCCTCTGCAGTCTACTAGCATAAGACCTCATGTTTGGACACTCATTTCTCTCTCACTTCGTTTGATTTTGTTGGATTTAGTAAACTGATGTTGCTTCTCAGATCATTGCCCTTGTTTTTTGTCTGCTGTCTCCCTAAACTTCACCCTCTCCCTGTCTCCCAGAATCTATGGCCTGCAAGTACCTTGCCTCATTAGTCACAGGGGCGGGGGCTGGTCATGCCCCGCTAGAAAAGGGGAGCTAGTTTTATTTTCCCCTCTCTTTTGTCTCCTTCCGTGTCTGTGCCCCTGTCATGGACTCATATCTAGAGATAACTCCATGAAACCCAACATGAACATTTTTAGAAGGGGATTATCTACTGAGTTTTCTGAAATGGATATTCAGCTTTGTTTGCAGATCTCTGTAATGCAGTGGCATCACACAGATGCTTACAGAACCCTGTAAGTGTTGTAAATCTGAACTTTCATCTACGTAGCACATGAATTTGTACATGCTGAAATTTAATCTGGAAAGTGCTGTGTGGAAACCACAGAAAAGTGAACTGATACCTGACCAGAAATCAATAACCTGCACCAATTCAAGTGGATGCTATAGGTTCTGCAAAACCCTATTACATAATTCCCTGATAAAGGAGTAAATTTGCTGAGTACCAAAGCTTTCTGCTTAAGAGGTCTCTTCTGCAATTTGCCTTATCTGTTACCTAACTGAAGTGATGAAAAACAGAAAGCAACATTTTCTGTTAGTTTACTGCTTTGGCTCAGGGATTCTCATATTAGAGTTAACAGCCACTGAAAACAGCAGGTGGTTATTTCCAATGGAAATGAGCAGCTACTAGACTGGAGGATCCTCATTTACTTAAACCCTGTGCAGCACTTCTAGGAATATTATAAACTGTGGGGTCTTTCTCATTTGTCCTTGTTTTAGCTGACACTGTCATTCCTGACTATACCATGAGTGTAAATGATGATCTAATGTCACTTCTATAATTACTTGGCACCCTGAATAAGCCTTAATCCCCCTGGGTCAATAACAGCTCTCAGTTTGACAGTCAATAAACAAGGTTCTGAGGATTGCTGCAGTTTCACTTTTTCTTTTTTTTTTTTTCCCTTGCTGGTGCATTTAGTAAATGCTGTTATGCTGTTCAGGAACGGCTCAGGACCACTGAGGAAAAAAGCTTTTCAACTCTTACAAAGGCTTCTAACATGTAACATGCCCAATTCATCTCCAGTGGAAGATTTGAGAATGACTTCAAAGGAAACAAGGACCTCAAATTGAGATGCTTCTCTGAACACAGTCATGAATGACCTGTATGTTAAAGCCTCTCTGTATGCCTCAACTTTTTTGGAAGAACTTGCCTTTTGTTGCTGTTGCAATCTAACCAGGTGAATCCAAGTCATTCAGTCATGAAATAAAACTAACTTTGTTATGCTCTCTGCCCTCAGATGACATCCAACAAGGACAAATCAAATGTTGTTGCAACACTAATGCCTGTGCATTTTTCTGCTGATCTTAAGACCACAAAATAATTGCTACTCAGTGACTATTCAAGGCTTACCTTCACAATGACTGTATAAAGGTCACATTGACCATACATTTAATTGTAAGTTCTCCTATTTCCTTCACATTTATCATTATGGGAAAAACACCTTCTTTACTTGTGCAGTATTTTATCATAAATAAATTCAGGTACCATTGGTCTAAGAAATAAAAAGCATCTAGCTATTCCATTTATGCCAAGCCCAAGAAAGACTTTATTGGATGGGAGGACTAATTATGCTGCAACCGGACACAGCAGTCACTGCAAAAATGACATAAATTGGGGTTATGTTGAGGAGGTTGAGAAGCAAATGATAAATAAATGGCAATGGTAAAGAAATATGCCAAATCTTCTGCAGTGTAAGAGCAGAGAAATGAAAATTTGCAACTTCTTGAGTGATTTAGCCTTTCAACGGATTTACATGCCATGGAAACTCTGATTCATCTTGACTTCTAATCCATACAATTGTGTTGAACACAGAAGAACAACAGTATGCATATAAATGCACGTATATATACTCATGAAGGAGAAGGGAAAGAGAGAAAGAGAAAGTAACACCAACAAAGTGATCAAAGAGAAGACGGAGAAAAATATTCTAACAGATGTGGGTCAGATCCTTTTTTCAGTCTGAGATCAGTAGTCTTCCATTAGTAGAAGGCAGGAAATAAAGTTACAAAATCTTGAAATAATTATTTTTGTTTTCAAATCTCTCATATTTATGTTATTTATATTTCTTGTATATCATTACATTCAGTATTTATATGTATTTCTTGTACACAGATCTAGATAGCTTTGGAGTCAATGGCTGAAAGTTGGTATTATAAAGAGTCAGCTGTATCACTTTCAGAAAAACTGTGCCTGCCTACTAGAAATTAAAGTATGAGGGCTAATTCATATTTGCCTAATTGAAAATCTGTTCTTTGAGAGAGCAAGCTTGTGCAGATTCTAAAATGAAATACCTTAATATATTACATTCAAACACAGATGAAGTATTCATTAACACACTGAGAAAGTTAAAGGTAAAATTATTGTCACAGAGACTAGGAGAAGGAAAGGGAGTTGTTTTCTTTTGATTGCTTTTCTAAGTATCAGAGACATCCTGAAGTCGCATGTCTTGCTTGCTGATCTACAGATAGTTTTCTGGGTAGTTTAGAAGATAGTCTCGGGACTGTTAGAAAAAAATGCATTGAATTCTTTTGCCCAAGATTCTTTCCAAAGTGAATAAACATTTAAAACTGTGAAAATAATTTCTGTGCGCAGTTAGATAACGAACGGGACAGAAAAACATTTCTAACACTCTTAGGAATAAAAAACTGCTACTTTAACTCATATGTATCATATGTAATAAAATCCTTAAACTTTTTGCTGCCAAAGTACCCATAGCTTTAGACTCCTCTTATTGGCATCTCTCCCTGTGACTGAGAATTAAGATTGCCATACCTGTAGTTTCACGACTTTTCCACAATAGAAGCAAAAAAACAGCAACACACCTTTATTTTTCTACATATCAGTAAAAGAATCTCTATGGGAAACCAAATACAGCAGGAGAAATAAGTGGAAAAAAAAGAAATGTAGATAGCTTTCATTATTATTTTGTCCCTTCAAATAATCACATTACATTTCTTGATCAGTGTTCTGGCAGGAACCTTGCACAGGCATTCAAAGACTGACTCACACAGAAAGTGCAAAAAGAAATCTGTGAGGAACTGGGAGATTCCACCAATGGAGGTAACAGAAGACCGACCTTCTGAAGGAAGATAAGAGCAGTGATAGAAGAAGAGGAGACACTGCTCCAGGACATCACAAGCCAGCACCAACAGGCTATAGACAATTGAATAGAATGGCCTCCAACTGGTGGTTGTTTTGGTATGCAGTAAAAACACATATAATGATATGTGTTGAAACATTATTTGGGTTTTCTTTCCAAAGAACCATCAACAGCAGTACTGCATATACGGTTTATACTTATCATTCAGACTGCACAAATAATAAAATATTTTTTTATAACATAAAACTTAGTGATTTTTTTAAAGTATATCTTAGTCTAACAGCTTGACAACTGACTAAAAAATACCCATCTTGAAGACTGCTTTGTCTGTGTCCAACTGTTATCTCCCCGAAAAGGCACCCCTCTACAGACATGGAAGTATACTGAAATGCCAAGAGTATTGGTCTTCATGATATCTAGACTCCCTTGAGGCTTTTCCCAAAGAAAGATCTTGCTGAATTTTCCCAGATAGTAACTGAAATTTTCCTTGCTGTTGTCCAGATCATCATTGTTCAAACAACGAAACCATAAATTGCTTTGTTCAGAATTATTGCTGTTATTTTTATACATTTAGTATATGAATCCAAGAAAAGATTTTTCTCTTGAAAAAGTCTTGTAGATGTGAGGACCATTCATCTTTCCGTATCAGCCAGTGATGTAAGTGTAGTACTCCAGGTTGCTCACTGGTGCCTGCATAAATTCAGAACAGTTTTGTTGGTTTTTTTTCCCCTGTATTTACATGTACAGACATGACTGGAAAAAGGATGGGGATATGATAAACACCCCATTCAGGAAAGCTGCTGTGCCTAGCTCATCCACAGAACTCAGTCCTCCACATATGGAGCTATCTTTTTATAATTAGTTGGTGACAGCTTGTGCTCAGAATGTTTCAAACTTCTTCTAGAGAAACTATCTGATTATGTCTTACACAGGTATGTTGTTCACAGGGTGGCTGGGTTTGTTGCAGTGACTGGATTTCAATCCAGTTAGTGGCCAGCCACAAGTGACATTCCTCAGGGGTTAGTGCTGGGACCAATTTTGTTTAGTATTTTTATCTGTGGTCTGTATGAGGGGGTTGAGTGCAATCTCAGTAAATCTGTAGACAGCATCAAGTCAGATGAGACTGTTGAGTTTTTCGAGGGTAAAAAGGTTCTGTAGAGGGTTATGGATGAGCTGGTTTGATGGGCCACATCCAGTTGTATGACATTCAACAAGGCTATGTACTGAAAGATATGCTTGAGTCACTGCAATCCAGTGCAGTGGTATAGGCTTGAGGAAGAGGCTGGTAACCAAGAGTCTGTGTTTCATAGTCCCTAGCACACTTTCAATTGAATGTTGAAAGCAGGAATGTTTCCAACCACACTGCTCTCTTATCGCTGCATTATCAAATTGTATGACTTGGGTATCAAAGCTGCACTGGAAAACTTGAAAATATAGAAAAATATTCTATTATCTTCCTGTGCTATTAAAGTTTATTTAGGCTTACTGTTTTTATATATAGTTAAGTAGGACTAATGCATTTTTCTTTAACAAAGGAAATCCAGTACTGACATAGTCAAAATAGGAAGCCGAGTGAAATGTCTGAGAGTGGAAATTTTAGCAGTTTTGTTATGATTAGATACAGTTTCTTTTTCCCTCTCCCGTTCCCTCCCCTCCCTTCTCCTTTCCTTAACTCACTCCCTTCATTCCCCACCTCTCTCCTCCCCTCTCCTCTTCCTTCCTTTTCCCTTTCCCACTTCCTCTTTCCTTTTCCCTTTGTCTTTTCCCTTACTTACCTCCTCCTTTCATTGAGAGTCTCATGCCAAAGTTTCTCTATCTTGGTTTTACCAGTAAGACAGTACAACCATGTTTTTGTACCAAATAATTTCAGATTGCTTATTTGACCCAAATCCTGAAGATATCTTTAGGAAAATAAATCAATCAGAGATACAGACATATACAGAAGAACATCCACAGCTACAGAAAAGTACCATGTCATAGTTGAAAATATATGTATTTATTTATTCAAGAGCTTATGGTTGGTTTGGGTCAGAAAGAGGAACAAGATTTAGAATAGGTATGACTGCCTTCTGCTTGCGTCTTGCCTCACCAAAGATAAAAGACAAGAACTTTAAGGTGTAGAGCGTGATGTTTTCAATTTGCATGGAAAGGTATTGCAATTGCATAACTTCTTTTTAGAATGTGTTTCCTTAAAATGAAAGATACATAATTGTGAAAATATAAATTAATTCACATTTTGGATTGCATTACCATTGGCTAAGCTCAAATTATTTTATTAAGCCCGAGTAAGCAAAGAGAGAATCAGACTAACTGGGTATAAAGCATGATAGAGAAGAAATTTTTTTAAGTGGAAAGAAAAAGAATGAAGTAAAATCTTGGTGTTACCAACTTTCTCTGTCACTATCCTTCAGAAAAGGCAGACAGAGATGTTGGGTCATCTTCAGATAAAGTGCATCACTTCTCAGCTGCTGCTGAAGTGAGGATATGAATCAAAGAGTATCTACATTTCAAATTGTAAAAGATAATGCGTAAAGAATTATAAAGTGAAATACTGTGTAAATATGACTGGGTCAATCAATATCAACAGATTCACTCATTATGCATTCTTTCTTTAGGACTTTTTCCTGAATTTGATTTTAAAAAGAAAAAGAAAAACAAACAAACAAACAAACAAACAAACAAAGAGAAATAACCAGGCTTTTTGCTTCTACAAATTTTACTCTAAATTTCATACAAGGAGTTTTCTCCCAAGAGTTGCAGTATTTCTCAATTTGTGTTAGATAACACCCAGGGAAAGAACAGTCTTCTGTTCTATTATTGAATTTCAGGTTCTTGCAGAAAAGCAAAGCAGTAATGGTAGAATTGAGATGACTGATGTTTTTTGGATAATCATTTATTCATTTAAAAATGTCAGCCAAAATGGAGGGCTTTAAGAAAGCCAGAACTCTATGTGAAGTTGGATTATCCAGCAAGGTTTAGCCAAAATTAGCAAAATGTAGCATATATGGTGAAAATTTGTTTCAATATTTCTGAAACATTTTTCATACACAGTACTAAAAACCAAGGAAATGAAAGAGGAGTTGCATCAAATTAATTCTCTGATGACAAATGACAGGGAAGAATTTGTAGAAAGTCTCCAAGGAAACCACTGGTGGAAGCAAAATAACAGAGGCCAACTCATAATGTCACAGATCAGTTGCTGCTAGTTAGACTATAGAAAAGATCACTGCATTTCTTCAAGGCTTAAATTTTTCTTTAATATAATCTGTAAGAAAAATATGTTTGATATGTCTTATTAGTAGATGATGAGGCTGGAAAAAAAAGTTCTAGTAAAAAGGACAGATATATACTGCTAAGTATGCCAAACAGGAACCAAATATTGTGGTTTTATCTTCTAATTAAGAATGAATTGGACTCCAAATGCCAAAAACATAGGAAATCCAAACCTTTGTATGTTTTACATGTATGAAGATCTTGTAATTTTTGCCAACTACTGATTCATGAGAAACTCCCCTTTATTTGCTATTAGAATATGCAATACACTTCAGCGTTTCACTACATTTCTTTAAAGACCATTAACACTGGAGGAAGATCTTGTCAGAACAAGTTGAAATCATTTGTTCTACTAAAAGATGTCATACTAGAACTGCTGTTTTTTCGCAGAAACATGCAATTTAGATCAAACTTTCAAATTTACTTTCTTTTTAAAAAATATTCAGGCAGAATTTTTAGTCAAAGCCCAAGGAAGACAGGCCTGAGAATCTGCTGAATTGTCATTGCAGTTGCTACTTGTGAGATTCATGTTCAAGTTCACAGAATCACAAAACGGTTTGTGCTGTGATTATTATTACTCAAGTATTTTTCTTTTCCACACAAAAGGATATGTACAGTTAATTTTTTTTTATTCACATCTTATTCTTAATCACAAAATAACTTACAAAGTGGAATGGCTGTAGTAGGGTAAGTTGAAAAGAGAATGAAGATTGATTCTACGGCCTGAAGGTAAGGTGCTCAAGGGATTCAAGTAAATCTGAAGCACTCTTCTTCATATTTCTTTCCAAGAAAACACAAGAAAAAGCCTTCATCTGAAAGTCAGATCGACACCAGTGCTAGAAACAAAACGTTAGCTAGTGTTATTTTTTTTCTTTTTCCTGCACTCTAGATTCTATACAATAGTTATAGTAAAATAGTGCTTCATAAATAGAGGAATGTGCATGTAAACTCATAAGCATCTTTTAATCATTTTTTTTTTCAATTTCCCCCAGCAGTCCAAGAGTATTTTTTTCTTTCCTAAATTCTCCACATAGAATGAACCTGAAATCCCTGGTCACTGAATTTCAAAAATCATCTCTAACTTTCCTGAGAGTGAAATGACCACTGTTTTAAACAATCTCAAAAAATAGCTTAGGATTTAAATACTAGGTAGCATTTAAATTGCCAGCCAAATAACCAAGAATGTGTTAAATAGATCAGAAAACATTCATGTAATATTTCAGACCCTACTCAAAAAATACATATATATCTTACCATTGGTATAAGGAAACACTTCACTTTTTCATTCAGTGCTACTATGTGGTTTACTTTTTATGACATACATTTCATTTTACGTGGACTAGTTACAGCACTGCTTGTAAAAGAAATCAATCTCATCAACTAAGAGGGGGCAATTTTTTCATCTCCAGTGTGACAGGAAAAGGTACTGTGAAATGAATTACTGGAGGAAAGATGTGAGGATTACTTCTAAGTACTTGCTGACAGTTCTTCCCAAGTATCCTTTGACACAGCTTCACTGGGAACAGACTTGTGCTTTACAGAAAAGGTGTCTGCTGAAGAGCAATAGTTTGTGTAAAAGATCTTTCAGAGCAACCTGAATCAAAGCTGTAGTAATATTCATCCTACTGCAGGTAAAAGTTTACTCTGCCTCTAGGTGCTCCATGTCTCCAATGAAGTGAGGAAGGCATAGTGCTTCTAGATATGCAGTCATTTAAATAAGAAGTTTCCTTCTTTCTTTCTTTCTTTCTTTCTTTCTTTCTTTCTTTCTTTCTTTCTTTCTTTCTTTCTTTCTTTCTTTCTTTCTTTCTTTCTTTCTTTCTTTCTTTCTTTCTTTCTTATTTATTTATTTATTTATCTGTTTGTTTAT